AGGGTAATAATGATGGGGGCTTCTATCAAAGAGGCTAGAAATGGCTCCAATTAATTCTTATTTGTAGGGGCCCTCCGTCTTTCTTGGTGGAAACAAACAATCTCGGGGGGGAACAATTATTATTATAATTATGATAATTATTATTATTATTATTATTATTATTAGTATTATTATTATTATTATTATTATTATTATTATTATTATTATTATTATTATTATTATTATTATTATTATTATTATTATTATTATTATTATTATTATTATTATTATTATTATTATTATTATTATTATTATTATTATTATTATTATTATTATTATTATTATTATTATTATTATTATTATTATTATCATCATTATTAATATCATCATTATTATTATCATTATTAAGGGCTGATAAAGGTGCTCGTAATTTATTAGCATTTTCATTTCATCCTTTTCTTGTAAAACAATCAAAAGTAAGGAAAATAAGTTTCCTTAAAATTATTTTCGTAGTATTTTTCTTAGGAATCAAACACAATTTGAATTTCAAAAGTCTTTGATTTCCTTTTCCTTTACATTTTCATTTTCCTTATTTTGAAATCCATGAACCAATCATAGCCTTAGTATTTGTCGTAAGAAAAACATCGAGAACTACATCTACCATTGCGTAGGGTATACTGAACCGATCGAGCGTATGTGGAAGATTTTAATGCAGAGGGAGGTTCTTGGAGAAAAAAGACGATGAGTTATGGAAACAAGATTCAGAACTGTCCAACTATAATTTTGAAAATCGGAAAAAATGGTGTCCGAAAAGCCTGCCGGAATTGCCAAACTATTGTGGAAGTAAAAGAGAAGAATGGGATCAGATAAGTTTGTCGAAATTGCCGGTCGATCAAGAACGAGAACCATCTTTTCTAGCTATTACTCGATTTGCATTGAAATAGAGACAAGATCGATGAAAACTAAAATGAAAATCGTAAAGTTCGAATTACCGGAATGTCTTCATCAACTAGATATGTAGTATATTTTATGTTTGAAGTTTGTGAAGTAGTTTTGTGGTTTTTAAGGAATCTTCAAATTTTTTACATGATGTACATAAAATTTGCATAGTTAAGGTTTGCAATATTTAAAGTTAACGTGGTATATTTAAAATTTTGAATAGTTAATGTGATATATTTGTTAAAATTTGGGGTCAATGTGCAATATTTGTTAAGTTGGGACATTATGAATGAAATTGATGTTAATTATATTGTGAGGAGTATTTTGAGTAAGAGACAGGTATTTTGTATGACTGATTTGGGTAAGAGACAAATATGCAGCTCCCCCTAAAAAATAATTGATATTAGAAAATTTGTTCATTTTTACTTTTTATAGTTTCTCCATATAAGAGCACTGGATGAACCTCTGTTCTCGTGCAATATAGCTAGCAGATCAAATGAGAGATGTAAACCTCAGTAAACATAAATCATGTATGATAAGTTCGATTAAAAAAGCATGTCACCCTTAGGGTTGAGATGGTCGGATTACACCTTTGATAAAATTAGGGATGAATTAGAATTATTGGATAAATGTTTTTGAAATCCTAGAAATTTCGATTTTGGAGTTCACACTAAGAAAGAAGTATTAGACAATGATATATTTCTAGAAGATTATTATCCAACCTGGTTTGATGTTGATATAATTATTGGGTTAATTAGGAAGACCCCTCAAAACATATTTACATTTCTTAGGTCAATTCTATTTTTACATCTTATAAGCAGCACCTCCTGATTTTATACTGTAGTTAAACATAAATACATTATTTAGTATATCCTCATATTTTATATTAAACTCTACATCTTTTTCCATCTCCACAAATTCTCTCTCTCTCTCTCGCTCTTTGCCCGGCGTGCAATCTCAGGTCAGCGGAAGAAATCACGAAATCAATCATTCGTTGTGTTAGGGCGGTGGCTAGGACTTGCGCGAATGTGATGAAATCTCCGGCGGTGGAAACCACCAGAACTTCTTCCACAAAGATGTTTTTCCATGGGCGGTCTTTCACTTCGAAACCACGACGTTTCTCGGTAAGAAGTTCCTCTATTCCGGCAACGATGACTCTAGGGTTTGGTATTGGTTGCTATCTAGGTTTAGGTGGCGTATATATTTTTTACACAACGAGGCTAGGGATTGATATTGGCTGCGGCTATTCTCTTACAATTTAGTCGCGCGATACAAGATACAATTATACTTTTTTATAGTTGATTTCGATATTTAGTAGTTGGTTTGGGTGATTTGTAGTTGATTCACTATTTTCGTAGTAGATTTCAATAAAATTGTAATGATTTCGATATATTGTAGATGGTTTCGATGACTTTGTAGTTGATTTTGATGAATTTGTAGATGATTCCGATAATTTGTAGTGGATTACTACAAATTGTAGCTTGTAGTTGGTTACTAAAATTTGTAGTTGGATTGAGGTGTGTTTATAGTTGTTTTGTTATAAATTATAGTCATGTTATAATTTTGTAGTTGATTACTGAAATTTGTGGGCGATTACAAGTTAGTAATTATTGGTGATTTTTGTAATTTATAGTTGTTTACAATGTGGTAAATCTGCTAGGAAAAAAAAAGATGAATTTATTAAAAATAAAAGAAGCAAAAGGTAGAAAATAATACCATATATAGATAGTGGGTAAAAGGGGTGCGGAATTGGAATATTGTAAAAGTATAATGGGATTATGAGAAGTTATAGGAGTATCTGAAATACAAATAACAAAGTGGGACGTGAAACATGAACTTGTCTAATAATTATTTTGCAATATAATTTTGTCATGCATTTCTCAATGATTTATGGTAGTAAACTTCGAAAAGATGACAATGAACTTGGAAAAATTAGCAGTCCTGAATTAGTGCGACTAAATATTTCGGCAATAAACTATTGAACAAAAATATGATAATAAACTTCTGGACGATGATAGTGAACTTTTGAAAATTGGAAATGAACTTCTAAATTGGTTAATATTGGTGTTGAATAGATGCGAAAGTCGGATGGAACGGATCGGAATTAACATTTTTGGAAAATTTCCATTTTGTTTTTGAAATAAAAACCTAATTCCAATTTCAATTCCAAAAAAATTCGCAATTTATAAATTCATTCCAATTCCAAAAGGTAAGAAAATTTCTAAAACCACATGAGTTTTAGTATTTTTAAAAAGTTTTAAAAAGTTTTAAAAACTTTCATAAATTTTCAAATACTAGTGCATGGTGCATGCGTTGCACGCATCGTATTAATTTTTCTATCTATTTTATTTTATATATGATAGTTATATTTTCATTAGAGTAATAATTTGTGACATTGATAATTAGTTGGAATATAATATTATTCAAATTATTTATTAATTAATAGTAAAATGGGGAAATTATAGTTTTCATACTTCAATTTGCACCGATTTCATATTTAGTCACCCATGTTCACAAATAACACATTTGGTCCCTCATGTTCCAATAATTTACCACTTTTGATCATTTCCGTCAATTTACCTTTAGCCCAATAGTTAAGGCAGTGATGGTAACACACTTGATTCCGTTAGTTTTAACGGGAGATTGACAGAAAGGACTAAAAGTGTTGAAATTTTGAAACATGAGGGATCAATAGTGTTTTTTGTGAATATGGGGACCAAATGTGAGTAGCATGCAAACTTGAGAAATGAAAACTGTACTTTTTTCATTGTATATATTTTTCTCATTATATATATGTATATATATAATGAAAATCACATAAATCACCCAAAATGTGATAAAAATTGAACAAATCACCACATATATGATGAAAATCGGACAAAATCATCCCAAAATATGATGAAATTGCACAAATAACCCCCTAAAAAATATCATAAATTTCCTATTGTGTCGCAATACCTATGCTGATTGTTGAGTTATATCGTTTCTATAAAAAAAAATTATCGTATCACGATATTGACTATATTGTATAGTCATGTTTTTGTAAAGAAACATATTAATATATTATAATGAAATCATTGAATATTAGAAATTAGCAATTTAAAACAATCTATGAAATTCTTAAATGCAAAGAAAAATCTCTAACAATCCATAAAAATAATAATAAGTAAACTAAATAAAAAGGTACCAATAGAAAAGAGTATTTAATTTGTCTATAATTTTGTAGTGCATTTATATATCACAATACACTTGCATTTAAAGCGGTTGATGATGGTGAACCAAGCCACCATTGTCGTCGTCGCGCCTCACGAATTGCGCCAACTGATTCATGGAGCCGCGCTCGAGCTCCTGATGCGCTCGATGCTTGTTGAGGAAAACGATGAGGGGCTCTATGTAGTCGCCGAAACCCAACGACGCCATTGCCGCCAACACGTCCTCCGGCGTGACTGTTCTTCGGTAGTCGCGGTGGCATATGTTGTTCGCCTCGGCAGTAATGAAGTTGATGAACTCGGAGACGCACGCCTGAATGGCCTCCTTTGCATCGTCGGCGATTTTAACGTGGGCTGGGAGGACGCACCGCATGATGCGAGTTACATTTGTTGTCGGCATGTATTGGTCCGCCTCTCTTTTGACGCCTTGTTGTTGCTCTTGGTTCACTTCTCCGGGCGTGGCAGTAGAGGCGCCCCCTTCCCTAATGACAATGCCTGAAATGATATATTTAAATTTGTAAATAAAATATACTCATGACAATATAATAATCACAAAATATAGAGGCATGCTATATATAGGATCGACATATGCAATGCAATAAAGAAAAATAATATTTTTAAAAAATATAAAGCGAAATAAATATAAAAATTCGATCATGTTCAACAAAACATGTATAAAATTGAGTAACCAATTTT